GACGCTCTCTTGGCTGGCTGGTTGCTGGGTAGGAGTGGCGTGGGTAGGGTCCTCTCTGTCCATTTCCCTGTCGATCTGAGCCTCTGGGCCTAGGCTCTCTTGTCTCTGTTCTAGCACTTGGGCTTCGATAGTATCGCTTTCTGGTGGCATTCTGTTGCTGGGGTTCTCTTATTACTAAGCAGAGTGGTCTGTGTGTTTTTGTTTTGAGTGTGAGACGTGTCTTGACTATCTGCTCTTATAGCTTATAGCTCCACAGCGCGCACGCTGCACGTCTTAAAACTTGCTGTAATTAGTTTCTTGTAAGGGATTTGTATATATTTAACAAAAATTACACCTATTCTAGAAAACTTGACGTTGGTGTTGTGATCGGAGGCATATACGCCAGCACAACGTTTATGCAAACCGAGTACCCTTCGTATCGCACGGGGGTATGGTGTGCAGTTGCCACGCAGTTTCTGCTAATCATCTTGTGCGCAATCATGTACTTGCATTTTCGGCGGGAGAATCGGAATGCAGATGAAGAGGGCAAGATTATTCAAGAGGAGGCTTTGTTTAGGTATACGTATTGATATCTATGCAAAGTGCGTTTCTTGCAGTGTGCTTGTAGGTCATACGTTGCAGCAGCAGCAGTCACATTGGTCTTCCTCCAGATCGTCGCAGGGACAGGGGAGCCAGCAACGGTTTACGTCGGTTGTTTTTTCTACAAGCATTTTGGAGTTGTGCACGGCTGGTTTGTCGCAGTTAGCGTCATGGGCTTTTCGGTGGTGATGATGATTGTACTTACAGGCTAAGTGGTCCTCGAAGAGAATTTTGCTGAGAATAGGCTTAGATGATGGTCACTTGCGGCAGAAGTAACTTACATGTGGGGGTCCAATGGACTATGTGGGTAAGGGGATTTCGGTGTGAAGATTACTGTAAAAAGGAGAAACCTGATGCCGAACACCCCGATATGGGCTTGTTTCTGCATTCATATAGGGAAGCAAGATTGATAGTTATTAGCACGCATGATGGCCTGGTGATGGCTTGATAATCTGGCTCCTACGTTCGCTTCCAACGACGAGACAGCGCAGAGTCAACATTACGACGAGAATAACGAACGAAGTAAATCAATTTTGGGTAGCAAATGAACTACCTTGTGCCTTGTAATGCGTTTGTGGAATTGAAATTCCAACCTCCTAAGTCTCTTCATTCATCCCAGAGGTAAAAAGACAGCAAATATCAATAAACGAATGTGTTTCTGCTCATCTGTCTACTACCAACGAACGAACGAACGACGCAACAAGTACAGATATATACAACAACAACCCCAATATTCACACAAGCAATCAAAAACAGCACGACCCCACACCTCTTCGTTCCCCCATGCACCTCCTACGCCGGCTGCGCAAACGTACTTCCAATAGGACCAAACTTGATATTGGAAAACACGACCTGGGCATTGGGATTCGCGCTTTCCACATCAGCAGGCACACCGCTGGTGACGTCGCAGGCGCCGCGCGCAACACCGGGCTTGGAGGGATCGGCGTCAGTCGGGTAGTTGCTGTCGAGCCAGAGCATGTTGGCGTAGTGGTCGTCCCACAGCGACATGACGAGGACCATGCCCATTGCCATGCCCTTGCCCATGGACTCCATGCCGCCGAACTTGTTGAAGGGGTAGATTTCCTCCTGGAAGACTTCCTGTTGCGTGTTGCACCACTGCTGGGTGATGGAGTTGCCGGTCTGCATGGACGTTAGTAACTTGCTACTAGGAGAAAGAGAATCATAGTTCGTGTCTTACCATGCCTGGGATTGTGGGCTCGGGGTTGGCAATGACCTTGCCGTTTTGCACGTAGAAGCGCTTGAGCTCCGTGAGTTGGTTGCCTGAGCCTAGGAACTGCGTCACCACCGTCATCTTCTTGGATGTATCGACTGTTTTGCCCTTGCCGTAGAAATCCGTCACACCGACACGGTATGGGTTGAAGTCGCATCCGTTGGCGTCACAGGTGCCTGCATAGCGGTCCAGCGAGTAGGTACCACCGCATCCGGTGTCAGTGCAGACTGAGTAGCCTTCGGGCTGGCAGGAATGCGGCGTTAGGGCCGTAGCCATGGAGTTGGCTTCCCAGACGTCCATTTCGGCACTACTTTGCGTTAGCTTTGGTCGCCAGCACGAGACAATGGACTCACCAGCATGCGCCCTTCTTACCAACGCCCCCATTTGGGTCTGAGTCGGATGGCGTCCAGCCTTCGGCGTTGGCTTCTCCACCAACATACTTCAAGTCTCGAGCACATTGCGCGTCGCAGTAGCCTGCAGGATGTAAGCAGCGATAGGAGAGGTTTGATTATATGATCGCACCTGTTCCGTATTTGGCACCGGGTGTTCCCTGGCCTTTCTGAGGCATCGAAACAAAGTACAGTGCGCCGTTCAAACCACAAGGCAGCTGCGAGAGATCCACGTCGAATGTAAATTCATTTCCAATCAGATTGAACATCTGCATTATTCGAAAGTCGCATCAGTAGGCAATCCATGCATTGAGAGATTGCGTTGCTGCTTACCTCGTAGTTGTTTGTATCTTTCATTAGATAGGTACGCGACCCAATGTTAGTAGAGTACTGGCCCTTTGTAATGAACTTGAGAGTAAGCGAGTTGCCTGAAGTCGTGATGCCGTAGGTTCCACGGTAATCAGAACCTTCAATAGCGCAGTTCTTAGTACATGCGGAGTTGCTGGGGCAGGCTGTAGTGTTCCACTGATTGCCTTCGTAACAGTTGGTGTAGCCCCCGACAGAATGAAGCCAGCGCCAGTTGGCATCAATGACAATCTCGCCATTGACGTTGCTGCAGGATGTTCCGCCTTTGCCGGTGCAACGCTGCCATGTCATCTTGGGATGCGTCTCGGTCTGCTCTTTTCCAATGACCCAGCCAGATGCGCTCGAAGCGCAAAAGGCCAGGATGGCTGCGGCAGTCGATGCGGTAAACATAGTGAAGAAGAAGTTCTACTGAGAGAAGATGGGTTCAGCGGATGATGAATATGTCTGTACAGCTAGGAATTCCCATCCTTTATATGTGTTCCGCTCCTCAATTTTTTCCTGATCGTGGCAAGCTTCTGGATGAACGACTACTGAAAATTCCAGACACAGTCAATCAGCAACTCGCACGATATTGGGTTTCTGGTCACCAGATGCAATCTTTCACGGGCCGATCTGTGAGAGATCCGTCTTGGAGACCTTTCCATGACTGCAGCCAAGCTGTTCTGACGTTGCACAACCAAGTCTTCCAACAACCACCCTCATACGTTTCCACATCTTGGAACGATGTATTTTGCTTGACCTTACGATGTCGCCAAGTCCAAGAGACTCCGGTAGATGAGGTCAAGAGTCGTGGTAGGTGGGGTTGCGTGTGGGGCCAGCGTATGACAAGCGAATTGATGACAGTGGATCCAGTGCGTGTCGGTGGAAGCTCGAGTTAAGCTTCTTGGGCGGGACATCTGAGCTCTTTATGTAGGCTTGGAAGCTGATGGTAGAAGCTTGGTCTGGCTGATCTAAAGGGACATGCCGAGTCGGGATAATACGAGACCTGGTATAATGCGGGGTTGATATTAAAAGACGAGTATTGCCAGTCTTGGTAGCGGGTCCTATTGGGCAGCACCAATGGCTGAGAGTTATTCTGTTACGCAAATACAATGGGGTACCAGAGTTTCTGGCAAGCTGAGGCTTAGATGGTCAGGTTGACACTGTTGTTATATTGGGGTAATATCCGGTCCACTGAGGCATGCACAACGCAGCACGAGGGGACGTACCTTCTGAAACTGTGCAATTCATACTTTGTTACATTTCGTTTGATTCCTGGTATGTTGCAAAATGTAGCCTTCCATTCAAGTAATTCGCGGTCCTTGAGAAAGAAAATACTACAGATATGCTCGCTGCGCAGTTGAGACAGTTCGTTCCGCATTATTTGAAAGTAGAAGCAAAGTGTTGATTCGGAGCAGTTTAGCAGAGCGACAATATTCCGATAATTCAAAATGAGTTCTGCTTAAATTGTGAGAGCTGATTCGAGCTGGTATGTACGAAGAGACGGGGTTGGACTGGGGTTGACCACCACCTTGCGAGGAGTGAAAGTCCAAAGAAATGAAAGCTTTTGCCGCTAGATCTTTATGCTGCTTTAAATGCAAGTGATGAATGGATCAGAGAGTATATGCCGGTGAAGTATATAATTGTAGCTGAGAAAGGGTGAAAGATGTCGCGGGGGTAGGTAGACGTCGCATCGCACGGACCAAGCCGGTGTCGTGATCCTTACTAATAATCCTATACAGCTGCCGTCAACACGTTCCGTCCCTTAGCACAATGGACTATAGTTTAATAATTCGGAACTCGGTGCAATAGCACCTGAAAAGTGTTCTCCATCTCCGATGTGGTCACGTCTTCTCAATTTGCCTATCCTCAAGAGCATGGTACTTGACGAACGCGGACCAGACTCCCCCAACGAGCGCCAATAGACACCTTGTTATTGCTTTCCTTGATTTTGTAATGGCTCCTATCGCAGCTTTACTACACGGAAAACACGTTTAGGGTATTTGCATTATCAGCCGTCTGTTAAGACGGAACAATTTGAAAAAAGCCAGTTCCGCAGAAGCACCCTGACGCGCTCGACTGAATCTGGCTACTCGAATGGCAATCCCTTCTAACCATATCGCGAATGTTCCGCTACTCAATGCCAATCCTGTGTTCCTTCGAGGATGATCGCGGGACATACCCTTGCCAGAGTGTCTCACGTTGCGACGATCTGCATTGCCATTGGCTGTTCGGCTAGCTGAAATTGGCAGGCACAAGATGCACAGGACCTCTAACCAGCACTTTGCCTCTCGTTGCTGGGTTTGCGATGCGTGAACATGGGTGAACCAGAAGCTTTCAAAAACATGGCTTGCATATATCGACGGGGTTGCAGAGACGCTAAGGTAAGCTCGCGGCTTGCAAGTCGTAGAGATATAAGGAGGGCTGTGCTGCCGATGTGAGGACCTTGGGTCGCGTTCGATTGCTCCACTCAGCCTGGATTTCAACATGAAAACTTTCTCAAAATACGTCGTTTGGGCAGCGAGTGTCGCCTCGTTTGCTGCTGCTCGAGACGCAAACATATCACTTGTGCCTGCAGCCACCGGCTTCGAAGGCGACAACACCGCTTTCATCTACGGGAAAACACCGCGACTCGTCGTCAACGATGGTAGTGCAGCAGACGGAGGTTTCCTGGCATTTGAGTTCTCAAATGGAACTTCTCCTACGGAAATGTACCATGAGAAGACTGGCCGCTCGAAAATAGCGGTACCGGTACATGGAATCGGCGACCGCGATCTCATCGTTAATATACCTGCACCAGACTCACTCATCAGAATTTTTGATGCGAAGACTGGGGAGAAAGTGGCCAGCAACAACAAAACACAGCTCGGCGACTGGAGCACAGCATGCACCTGGAGGAGCGAGAAGAGCGGGGAAAACTACATCTTCCTGTTTGGAAAGAAGAAGGTAGTGCAGTTCTTGCTGAGACAGACGGAGCATGGCGCAGAGATTTTGGAGGTAGGGTTGCCAGCGATATGAGTCAAGCGATCCCAGCACTGACATGCTATAGGTTCAGGAGTTTGCCGTTGCCATCGAGGGTGAAAGCTGCTCCGTTTTCTCCAACGGCCAGGTTTTCTTCTCCGCCGAGGACCAGCCTTTGTACTCTTTCCAGGCTTTGGAGGCTACCGATGCACCGAAAATTCACACTGTCATTGAGGATGTGGAGGTTGCTGGCCTTGCTACGTACTACAGCACCTCTGAAGATTACCTTTTCGTCGCGCATGACGAAGTGATTGACATGTATGATGCGAAAACCCAACTTAAAGGAAGCATTGCACTAGGTGGCATCTCTGATCTGTCCATCAAGGGAGGTTTGTCCATTCTACAGTCTCCCGTCGCTCGTTATGCATCAGGTGTTCTTGCATTTGCTTTTGAGGGCAAAGACGACACTGGGGTCGCTATCGGCTCTCTCGAAGGTGTTCTTTCGCCTCTAGGCATTCAGGCGAACAAAGATTACAGCCCGGCAACCAAAACTTGCAGAAACTGTACAAGCACAGTATCTGAGAAGTGCTCGTACCATGGCTTTCAGAGCCGCGAAAGCTGTTCTTGCTTTTCCGGCTTCAGTGGTGGCGATTGTTCCAAGACGACTTGTAAAAACGACTGCTCAGGCCGCGGGGAATGTGTTGGACCTAATGTATGCAGCTGCAAAGGCGGATGGACTGGACCGGATTGCTCGTTCATGGCCGTCAAAGCTAAATACGAGACTGAGGCCAACGGTGGTGACGGCGATGACCCTGCTATATGGATACATGCCACTAGGCCAGACCAAAGCAAGATCATTACTACGACGAAGTCTGAGGAAGGCGAGGGCTTTGGTGTATTTGATCTGCAAGGAAAGCTCTTGCAGCACCTGGCCGCGGAGGAACCCAACAACGTCGATATCATTTACAACTTTACCGTTGGTAATCGCAGGGTAGATCTTGCATATGCTGCATGCCGTGGCGATAATACGCTTTGGTAAGCGGTGCCATTCAGTTCTATATATATCCACTGACGTGATCTAGTCTAGTCGAAGTCAACAGCACCGGCTACCTCCGCGAGATCCCAGGTGGTATCCAGACGCTCCCCGAAGGTTACAAGCCATACGGCTCGTGCAACTACCGCTCCCAAGTATCTGGAAAAGAATACCTCTTTGTAAACAACAAGAAAGCGCAATACCTGCAATACGAGCTGACTGCTAGTCCCAACGGCACCCTTCAGACCACGCTCGTCCGGGAATTCCAAGGCGGTTCAGGCGGTCAAGTCGAAGGCTGCGTGGCAGACGAAGGTGCTGGATACATGTTCATCGGCGAAGAGCCACTGGGAATCTGGCGGTACGACGCCGAGCCCGATGGCTCCAACACGGGCGTTCAGATTGCTCAAGTTGGGGACGAGAGTGGTCTCCAGGCCGACGTCGAGGGCCTCACCCTAGTACCAGCCAAAGCGGGCACTAACGGCTACATTATGGTCTCGTCGCAGGGCATATCAGCCTATGTGATTTACGAGCGAGTGCCGCCGCACAAGTATGTAGGGACGTTCACTATTGTGGATGACAAGGAGAGGGGTATCGACCATGTGAGCAATACGGATGGTATTGCTGCAGTGGGTAATCCACTCAACAAAGACTTTCCGGGTGGTTTGTTTGTCACGCATGATGATGCTAATGAGCTGGCTGAGGGAGGCACAGCGAGTGAGGCAAGCTTCAAGCTTGTGAGCTTGGTGGATATCTTGGGAGAGGAGAGAGTGAAGAAGCTAGGGTATTAGACAATAGTATGGATGATTTTTCTCAGCAATCGATGCCAGCATATCACTGTCTATGATGCCCAGGTGGTATCCCCAGTGTCCAAAAATCTAGTTGATATCATTTGAGATCCATGCACGTGACTTCATGTCGGACATGCTCACGTGAGCCGCGAGCAACGCGTCGGCACGTGCGCGCACCGACAATTTGGACACTGAATCATGGCGCGAAGATGAGCCCCGCCACGGGAATCGCGGTGCATGGCGGCGTGGACAGCATCGACTTGGGGCGGGAGATTGGCTTCTTGATCAGAACAGCACAAAGCCAGCGGCAACATGTCAGCCGAACCCTCAGCGCAGAAGCTGCGTCAACTGCCGGCTGAAATGCTCGAATTCACGCTGCTCAAGGCAACGGGCTCGCTTGCACCACGACTCGGCCGCCTGTCGGTGCCAGGCCGCAACAAGATACTGACGCCCGGCTTCATTGGCAGCACGTCGAGGGGCATTATTCCGCACATCTCGCAGGACAATTTCCAGAAGAGCCTCAACGTTGGCGGTGTCTACGTCCCGCTCGAAGACTGTGCGTAGCGCTGCCGACGGCTCCCACAGCAGCACGTCGCTAATGCGTTATAGTCGTGGAGAAGCACCCTCAAAAGACACCGCCAGTGCTCCAGTATGGCGTCGCCGAGCCATTGCGCAGCTTCATCGCCCTCCCACCAGACACGCTGCTCGTCCTCGGCGCGCGTCGCAACCCCCCCATCCCGAGCCCCCATGCCAATTCAAACACCCAGGTGAGCCTCTTGACTTCGGTCGGCTTCACCTCAGTCACCTCAGAGTACTATGCGGCCGCTGCGAGAAAGCTGCAGCCAGACATTGCCGTCGGGCTGTCCGATATTCCCTTCGGCCAGGACGCCATCAGCCTCAAGCGCAAGGACAAGATGAGCGACAGGACCGAGGCGTGGCTACGCGATTTGGTCGTCAAGCAAGGCACGCTGAGCGACAGTGACAAGCGCTGGGCCATCTTTGCGCCCATACTGCCCATCGACCGCGACTTGCAATCGTGGTACCTCGAACATCTGCTAGACGACATGATCGACAGCATTGGCGGTGTCGCGATATACGATGCGTATCTATTAGATGACCTACCAGAGCAGCTGCACCACCTTCCAAGATTATCCTTCCACGTCCCCGCCAGCCCGCACGAACTGCTTCGTCACATCAACCTAGGCATGGACATCTTCACCGTGCCCTTCCTGAACGATGCGACCGACGCCGGCATAGTCCTTGACTTTACCTTCCCAGCGCCCAAGAATAGCGTGAGTCCACGCACTCGCTGCTCCCTGGGCATCGACATGTGGAGCGGCGACCATGCGCTGTCCGTCATGCCGCTCTCAGAGGGCTGCACTTGCTACGCCTGCACTAAGCACCACCGTGCCTTTCTTCAGCACCTCCTCGCAGCCAAGGAGATGCTAGGCTGGGTGCTGATCCAGATGCACAACCACGCCATCCTCACATCCTTCTTCGCCGGCGTGCGAGCCTCGATCGAAGCTGGCACATTCGATGCCGACATGGCTGCGTTCGAAGCCTACTACGAGCCCACGCTACCCGAGAAGACTGGCCAAGGGCCACGCGTTAGAGGATATCAGTTCAAGAGCGAGTCACATGCCAGTAAAGAGAAGAACCCCAAGGCATTCAAGAAGTTTAGTGAAGACGAAATCTTGAAGCTCAAGGCAGCCCATGGGCAGCAACCCAATAAGAATCCCGAGACAAGAAATTACATTGATGACGAAGCTCTTGTGGGATTAGTAGGCCTGGAGCCCTCTCCAGTTGACCCCGACCCTGCTGCGCAACTGGCTGGGTTGCACCTGGAAGATGAGAAGGTCTCTTGAACTCTTCGGGACCATATATGATCCCACCGCCAGTCTAATATACAATTCCCACGATACTGTCAAGCATTTCCTTCTGCTGCCACATAATACCTTCTGTCCCAGCTCCTGTTTTTGTCTGGTCTTGCGTCGAATCATGGAGCCTTTTGCCATTGTCCGGCATTCTTTATCTGAACTTTCCCTCAGGTGCGGTCCCCACTACACGATCAATGTCCGTCCGGAGAAACTTCGCACCAGTGCTAGTCACAATGTCGGACATCGACGATGGTGTCGAGGAGACGCTGAGGTAGTCCAATCTGGCGCGCGGAAAGATACCACCAAAGGAGTATGATGCATCTCTTTCGGTGGTTGGCAGTGAGTTTGAGAGTCCCACGAAGAAAAAAAGGAGCAGCTGAGCAATCAAGTGAAGCATGTTGAAAACTTTAGTGTCGAGTTGCCAGCAACCTGCTTGGTGATATAGCTTCAAGAGCTACCGAGTAACCTGCATCTTCCTCGTCGCGCAAGTGAGCTATACGCTTCTAACCTCGAAACCACTCTACTCGAGTCGCACCGGATACTCACTTCGACGAGTCATCGGGCTTGTGTCACATGAAAGCCGTGATGGTACCACAGTTGCATGTAACACCCAAATACATCCAGTAAAGACGACACGGCTTCGGATGTCAAGTCGTATACGCAAACTCTTTCCGAGTATCCGCACGGGTAGCCTTGAGATTTGTTTGTGCGTGGTCATGGACGCACGTCTGTACGGCTGTCTTCAACTCAATAGACTCGGGCTGCGTTCACGTTCTAATCTACAGTAACAGCCATCTGGTTCCTGCAAGAATTCTGGAAAACGTACTGAGGGCTAAAGCATTATTGGTTCAGGCTCGTCAGGCGGAGACATTGACTTGACCATAGCTTTTTCCTGGTAACAGCCCTATTCCAAAAGCAGTGCCGGTATGCGGAACTACCGGGATATAATATAGGGTAGTGGTTGACAAATCACAGCCTTGTGTGGGGAATGTGGGCGGGGTTGTGCGTAAGCCATCTTCCCTGTCAGGTACCCTCACCTCAGACCTGGGTTTGACATCTCCTTTTGTGTTCCCATCGCGGGGATATCTGCGTCCTATCTCAATATGATTGCATACATGCTGAGAGATATTCCTGAATGCTAGGAGCAACATCACATCAGCCTCACATATGCAAAGGGTAGCGACATCACATGTTGAGCAGTTGGCATGGAGAATGCAACTCGAGCAAGTCAGCCCCACTTACTTACTCTCGGCGTAATATTGGAGTTGTCATTAACTTCAATCCTGGGCCACGGCAAGTGTGTATTCGTTGGATAAGACTCCGACGGTGCTAATACTTAGTACCTTATATACGCGACAAGGGCCTTGCTAGCTCTCACGGTCAGCTCTTACTAATGTCAGCCAAATGCTTTAACGTGCAGGGTCAGTAAGCTGGGCAGATCAGTAAGCTGGGCACCCCACCAAACTTGACGCGACGCTCTACACAACCACCACCATGCCGCGACAACAACGTTCTATACATACTTCTCGTGAAGGCAGAATAAGCCTTGCTATCGCGTCTTATCGTAATAATCCAAAACAATCTATCTGTGCTCTTGCAAAAGCATATGATGTGCCACAATCAACACTACATACTCGCGTTCATAGTACTCAGCCACGACTAGAGCTACGGTCTGTTAACCGTAAGCTATCGTCCATTGAAGAGCAGTCCCTTGTGCAGTGGATCCTAGACCTTGACCGTCGTGGTTTTCCACCCCATATTATCGACGTACGACGGATGGCAGACGCGTTACTCGCCGCGCGTGGCCAAGATCCACCTCCACAACCTGTAGGCAAGAAATGGGTGTCGCGCTTTATCCAGAGCCAGCTAGAGCTTCAGACGAAGTGGAGTAGAAGGCTTAACAGCCAGCGCGCCCAGTACGAAGATCCTGCTACAATCGTAGCGTGGTTTAAGTTGGTAGAGGAGACGCGCCAGACGTACGGCGTGCTAGACCAGGATATCTATAACTTTGACGAGACTAGGTTCGCAATGGGCGTCGCTAGCACGTCAAAAGTCGTAACTAGCTCTAATAGAGTTAGTCGGGCAGTCGTCGTACAGCTAGGCAATCGGGAGTGGGTTACAGTGATCGAGTGCGTTAACGCGTCTGGCTGGTCTCTGCCACCGTTCGTGATACTGTCTGGCAAGGTTCACCAGAGCAGCT